GTCGATTCTGGTCGAGTCGAGTCGAGTCGACGCGCCCAATTTTCCCGGTGGTGGAGCAGTGTGGGTGTGGGTCAGGAGAGACAGCGGTGTTGACCGCCTCTCTCTCTCTTTCTCTGTGCGTGTGCCTGTGTGCCTCAGTCGCCTCTGCTCGATTTTTTGGAGTTTGCGCTCCGTCCGACTGCCGCTGCTTCTGCCGCCGCCCCACTCAGCATCCGTTCAACCCTAACCGTCGCGCCGATGGCCAACTCCAACCACATTCACTCCACCCTCCTCAGCCCCTACCTCTGCCACACACCCTCTCTCTCGAGCCCTTTGCAGCGGCTACCACTTCCTCCTCCTCCGACCACCACATCCTAGGGATCACCACGCCAGTCGTACACCAGCGTTTGCTTCAGCGGCCACCTTCTCTCCCTCCAGCCTTGGTCCTCTCGAAAGCACCCCGCACAAGGTCCAGCACCTCCCCACGGCTCCGCGGCTCCTGCATGGCGAGAATCGCACGCTAGTCCAATAGCACTGCGCTGCTCCGCGCATCCGCTCCTCCCGCATAATCATCCACGCCTCCTTGGTCTCTTTCATCATGTGGATGTCCTTGCGGCCTCGCTCGCTCGCCGACTCGCCGGCTCAACAGCTGCTCAACCGTCGACAAGCGTCGGCTTCCTCCTCGGCTTCATCCTCCGCCTCCGCCTCCCCAACAACAACAACCACCGACAATGGCTCCTCCGCTTCCGCTTCCGCCTCGGCATCCGCATCCGCATCCTATCCCGCCTCTTCCTCCTCATCCTCGGGCTCCTCCGCGGGCGGAATCGCAAATGGAGGCATGGGCTCCCCAGCTTCCGGCACTCTCAACAGCACTCGCATCGTCCTCGGCCGCGGCTTTGCAAACGGTCAGCTCACCTACACCGTTCCCATCGCCGTTGCAAATCAGCAGGTCAACGCTCAGCTCGACACTGGCAGCGGCGACCTCTGGCTCGCAAACCAGGACTGCGCTTCCGACTCGTGCAAAGGTCACCAGGGCCTCAGCGTCCTCAAATTCAACGACCGCGCAGACTCGGTCGTAGACCAGGACACCCCCTTCAACATCAGCTACCTCCTCGGTTCCGCCTCGGGCCAGGTAAAGACCGCCTCCATGCTCTTTGGCGACCCCGACACATCGCGCCTCATCGTCAACTCCCAGGCCTTTGGCTCCTGCAACGACGTCTCCAACGAGGACATGGACTCGGGCAACTTTTCCGGCGTCATCGGCGTAGGCCCTCCCGCCAACAGTCTCATCCAGGCCGACCTCAACGCCACCAGCAACACCGCATTCCTCAACGTCGGCGTCCGCCCACCCGAGACCGGCGCCGTCCTCGCAGGCTTCTGGACAAACGCCCGTCCCGGTCGCAGATTCATGGGCATCGGCCTCCAGCGTCTCGAAGAAGACGGCGGCAAGGGCGACAGCCTCCTCACCATCGGCAACCACGACCCTGCCTACGCCGGCTCCACCGAGCCTCGCATCAACTTCACCAGCGCCATCGGCGACGCAGACGGCGTCGTTCGCCACTGGCGCGTCCCGCTCACCGAGATCAGCGTCCAGCTCCAGCACGGCGTCGTAGAACCCATCCCCATCGGCACCTCCAGCGTCATCGCCGGCTCCAACCCCATCGCCGTCTTTGACTCGGCCGCCAGCATCAACCTCGGGCCCGAAGGCACTCTCAACGCCCTCTACGGCGCCTGGGGCATCGGCCCGGCCTCCGACGGCGGCTACTACGTCCCCTGCGACCTCCAGATGAACGTCACCCTCTCCCTCGGCGGCATCCGCGTACCCATCCACCCGCTCGACGCCAGCCTCCAGACCGGTTCGGGCAACGGCCCTTCCAATGACGGCTCCTCCTGCCTCGGCTCCTTCCAGGCGCTTCGCTCGCTCTCCGGCTCCTCCAACGGCGCCAACCTCAACTCGAGCTTCCTCCCCGCCGACTTTGTTCTCTCGCCCGCCTTTATGCGCAGCGCCTACACCGTCTTTTCGTGCGACGACGGCCTCAACACCACGCAGGCTCAGGCGGCCAACATGACCGTCACTAGCCCTTGCCAGGCCGCCATCGGCCTCCGACCGCTCGTCAACATGACCGCCGCCACCCAGCAATTCACCGCCGTGCGCATCAAAAAGCAGAGCCTCGGCCAGTCCGGTCTGCACGGAGGACACTCTGGCTCCGGCTCGGGCAACTCCAAGGGCCTCTCCGAAGGCATCAAGGTCGTCATTGGCTGTGTCTGCGCCATCATCGTCATTGCCGTGCTCTTCGGCGTCGCTCTCTGGAGGCTGCGCAGGCGCCGACGTCGCATCGCCGCCGCTCGCGCCGCTCTCTATGCCAATCAGGGCGAAAAGGGCGCAGGCGCTGCCGCAGGTGCTGGTGCAGCGGGCGCCGGTGGAGCGCTGGGCCATGCCAAGAAGCAGAGCAATCCGTATAGCGTGGTCAAGATCGACGGCCTCAGCGTGCCCATGGAGGTGCTCGGCAAGGACGACGACAGCAGCAGCCAGGTGGTGCTCTCGCCCGCCCAGCGTGCCAAGGCGCGCCAGCTCCACCACATGCACGGCGTCTTTGACGACGAGCTCCAGGACGATGAGCTGGGCCGCGGCGTGGATCCACAGTGGGGCGAGGAGGCGCCGCCCAACCCGCAACACCTGCACGCCGCCGGCCTGCTCTCGTGGGACGTCTCGTCCACCGGCTACGTCGATGCACGCCAGGTCAAGAACGCCTACCTCGCTTCCCTGTCCGAGGACGAGCGCAAGGCGTTCCTCGAATCGTCGGCGCGGCGCCGTGCCGAGCCCGAATTCGCGCAGACCTCCGCGTCGTCGCAGCTGCAGACGCTCGATGACCACAGCGTCCAGTTGAGCCAGACGCCCCACGACGCGCGCTCTGACTCGCAGCGCAGCTCGCAGCTCTACTCGCAAAATCGCTCGAGCGCACGCGCCTCGTCGCCCGCACCCCTGCTGCAGCACGACGAACTGCGTTGATGCCGCTTTGCCTTACTTTCTTTATATCGTAACGGACACTCTCTTTGACGGCACCCGCAACTGCCATCGTTTTATTTCTATTCTAGTCGTTTGGTTCATGGATTTCATTCCTCGCTTCGTTGCCTCGGTTTTGGTTGCTCCTGCTATGTACCATTTGCACACGGTCGACAAACGGCCGCATACTCTCACTCGCTTTTACCTCTTGCACCTTGAAACATGCATTTGCTCATGGCTTCTTTGCTCATCGTCCGTTGCGCGTTGCTAGAGTGTGACAGTTGTCGGCTGTGTTCGGATCTCGATGCGCCGCATTTTGATGCTTGTCTGTGGCATGAGGCATTGCATGAGCTGTGGCAATTACGCGACTTGGTGCAAGTTGGACGCTGGCCTGGATTCAACGATCCTCTCTCGCACACATGAAACTCGCCTCACCTTGTCGTTGTGCCCCTGCTACGTATGCACCATTTGCACACGATCGACAAAAAAGCCACACCCACGAAATCGCTTTTCCTCTAGGCTCTTTGCCCATCGTTACTGTCGCTGCATTGGCTTACTGTTGTTGCATTTGCGAGCCTTGTTGCAAACGAGTGAGACGGTGGACCTTCGCCTGCATTGCTGCTTAGATCTGCACACGGTCCCCTCATGACTCCTTGCCGAGGCGTGAGGTTGACGGCGTCTGTGCGGGCAGTGTCTACATTGAGCGTTGCTATGGAGTCACGACGCATTGCACACCTGTTGCCGAGGTGCCAAATTCGCACAGTGTGCGGAAAGATAAGCCTCCTTATCGCTTCTGCATCGCAGAACGGCCCGGTGTCTAGTCGTCACACATTGCGCCTTGCTTAGGTATGACATTGCCCAAGTGGATTTGTGAGGATCCCCATTTGTTGCTCCTTGGCTGTAACAAAGGCTATTTTTGATATCGCCTTTGCGTGCACTGCTGCGATGTACACCGCCTCTCACTCACTCGCTCTCTGCTTGCTCTTGCACATTCAAAACACACACCCATTGCTACCTGACCGTTGCCCCGTCACCTGTTGCTGAGGTATGACCTTCGCCGTGTCCGTGCGATAGGTCCCTGTCGCATTGCACGTTGCACAAGTTGTAGGATTTGGTGCAGGCTAGACTCGCTGGATCTGGGACGCTCGTCTGGATCCGACGGTGCTTTTCTCGCGGCGTTGCATGGAGTCCCCGCCTCGCGTTGCATTTGATGTTGCGCCCAAAAAGCAAAGAACGCGCTGCTAGTTCAAGGTCGTCGTGGCTTCAAGTGCGATCATTGCGAGGCGAGGCGTGACAAGGCAGCGTATGCGTGTGGTTGCGGGCAGCAACGGAGGATACGTGTGTGTGGCTACTGCGATGGTCATCGGTCAGCCAACGACTCACGAGACCGACCATGAAGCGAGTTTGCACCTACAGCGCCGGAGAAGCGGTTGGAAGCTGATGTTCGGTGAGCAGGAGCAAAGGTGGTGATGAGGATGGAGATCGGTTTCCCAATTGGCTGCCCCGAATCGATTCGGCATCAAGCCGAAGATGAGGCTCCAGTCCGCGCATGCTTCTGCAAACTCTCACGCAGCAGGTCTTTGTCGCCTAGCTGCAAGTGAGAGTGGCAAGAGGACGTTGAAAACGAACCGATTCGGCTCGATGATAGCCTCCAGGTGCTTGTGTGATCTCGAGAGAATGCGTCTTTGACTCGGAGCATTGCATAGACTGATGGGCAGAGGTACTGCACCACCGAAGGTCTGAATTCTACTACGACAGGCGTGACAAGGACTCATCACATGTGCAAGCAATGTGCACTCGGCGCTTCTCCATGAGACAGACAAGCTGGACCGGTAAATGTGTTTGAAGACGTAAGACAGCAGACTGCTCCCTCTTCTTTGAGGACCGGGAGAGGCCCCGGTCTCAGGGGCTGCTTCCCATTCACACCACGCTCGTATTGCAACCGAGTTCCATCCGACTGGGCGGCGATAGACTGTCCGCAAAGACAAACAACTTGATCAGTATCCACATTGTTTGATACGATTGGTCTCATACCGAGTCGGTGGATTGCAGGTCTGATGCCCGTCTCGATCTCGCTTTGCTCTTCTCACGTCGAACACGGGCGAGTGCTCGGGTTCTCGACGTCTGATATCCGCTAGGCCGAGCGGGGTCATGGGTGCTTTGCCCTCGTCCGCGACATCGGCGTGTGGCAGTCGAGGCTCTTGCCACCACCAAGTTGGGGTTGCTACGGCCGTGGCACACATTTATCCCGACACAGTCAGCTGCGGACGATTGGCCATTGTCATCGGAAGAGTTCACAAGGTTGCATGTGGTTCAATAGGCCCTCTTACGTTGCTGCTCGCCGTAATCACGTCGACACTGCACGCTGCCAGCTCGGTTGCTGCAGCTCAAGGAATTAACGAATCAAATACTTTTTTTCG